TTAAGAAGATTTTCCGTGCTTTGGCCTTCGGCGTATTTTGGACATTTGGTAATGTTATTAGTTTGAAAGGCTCTCCATGCATGCGTTACATCTTAGTATCTTACATACCTAGTAGGGCAGATTCTTTGGAGATAAGGAAGGAGTGTGTGAGAAGTATATGGCCTATTCTGGCTCGAGTTATGATAACTTCATCTCTTCTTTTTAGATTTGGTGTAATAGGCCATTTTTTGATGGAAGGCTTGATATTTCTTAGTTTATTTGTAAGAGAGACATCGGTCCAGTTTTTCTATCCTGTTTCCAGAATTTTAAAGTTGATGGTAACTTATGCCTCAAAAGAAGTACCTAGTTACGTTCAGTTCTAAGGAATTGTGAGGAGGTGTAGCTTCATTTGCGATTTTATCGTAGTTACTTTATTTTATTTTGCTTTCATTTTGTAGATTGAAAACGTTGTTGCGCTTGAGAATGTGCCAAGAACGTCGATAGTTATATGTTATAATAATATGTTGTCATGTCGATGGTTACCTACTAATTGTTACTCACTAGTGAATACTATATTCATTGGGCGTATTGTATAGCAGTAACACGGACAGCGGTCGCATCAGTTGTGTTAATACCATCAGTCGCATCTGTAAGACTGTAAACCCTTTAATCTTATACCGTGATCGTTTATATAGAATATTAGATTTTTAAATTTTTTTTAAAAAATGGCTAAGATTTTTGCACTTTGAATTATCTCAGTATAGTTTTTGTCCGATTTGTTGAATATATTTTAATTTTGTTTAACAGAAGACTTAAATAAACACCACTTGTGTGACTATTAATAGCTTAATGCTGACTTCCATCAGTCATTAACCCTCACTCTATAGCCAATAGTCAATAGGTACATACTACATATTATTCTAAAATTTAATTTTTATATTTTGTCTAAAATTATACACTAATACAAAATCTGCTGCTTCAATGGGTAGGCACAAAAATTGTACATCAGAAATAAATGTTTTGAATTAAATTATATTTTACAGTAATAATTATTCTTTATTCTTTCCATCCAATTAGAGGTTACATTGTAGACAACAAAATATTTAAAACAAAATTCATTACAAAGAAACTACAATATAAATACAATTTTATGCAACAACCAAAATCACATTAATAAATAATAATACTGTTGGAATTAAATATTAATAACTATTGAAATGTACAATATATAGATTTCATTAAACATAATTAAATAAACTATAATACAATGGAACTTATTTTTTGTTATCAGTTGTTTTAGAAGTAGACTGCCCTTCTTTATCACCACCAAAATAATTGTATTTGATTTTCAATCGTTCACGAATAAGAAGAGCTCTTACTAATCGTTTCCAATTACCATAAACTCTATCTTCATATCTTTTTTGTTCTCGCTTACGACTTTCTTCAAGTTCTTGGTTCCATGCATCTATTAGAGTGTCTTTATATTCTTGACAAACTACAAAACCATCATTTACTGGATGAGAACCACCTGCGTGAAAGTCAAAACCAACAACTGCAGGAGCACAATCAATGTTTAGTTTTTTTGCTACACGCAGTAATCCAGGAACTAAAATCCAAAACGATAACAAATTAATATATTGAACGGTTACAAGTATTATATTTATGCATACGTTGAAGATGAACGGTTCCTTTAGGTAACATGCAAGGTTTGAATAAATCAACATTGCCATAACAATTTCTAGGAACTTGACCATTAGTAGCAGTTGGAGGATCATAGGGTTCAGTTTGCCAATAACCAAACAATTCTAATGGTGGAGGATCTGTTCGCACGCCATTCTGTAATGTAAATAATTATTAATAGAATCAGATTGATGATATTAAACATAAGGAACTAACCCGATCAAATCTAGGACGGGCCTTAACTTGTTTATACCATTTTTCCCCCATTTTAACCACACGGGCTTCTTTTAGCCAATTTTCTCTACCATTAAGCTCATGAACATATTCTCGTAAATAAACTGGTTCATTTCTAACATGTCCAACAATTGGTGGTTCCGGCGGATATATGGCTTGAAATTTTAGCAAGTGTCTTGATAGAGCATACAATGGATGGTTTTTATACCTTAAACAAACATTTTAACTATAGTAAGCACAATAACTATGAATCATTAATAATTATGCTTGTAATAAAATTAAAATTAAATATTATCATCTAACTAACTCGGAAACTGTTTTAGGTAATGGTATTTCTTCCAATTGTTTATTAAGTTCTTCATCTTCCTCGCGTTCTCTAGCTGACCCTGTTGGAGTGTAAGGTCGTAAAGTAGTTTTCCACCATTTAGGATCCACACGTATTTTTCGTGTTAGAGTATGAAAATATGGATCATATCGTTTTGTTATGTCTTTGATACTATTGTCGTTATACCAAGCCAAAACATAACGCATAGGATGAGTTGTACCATTCTATAAAAACAAAATTGAAAAAAATTAACATATTTTGTAGAGTATTTCCATAATTTGTGTAGTTCACTGTGAAAATAAAATACTTTTTATAAAATGATTTTAATGAAATTAAATAAAATTAATATTATAAATCTCACTACTATAAAATATTTTAATTTATAATCCAACTAACATATATTTCTTTGATGCAATGTATACGTTGACCAATAACATCCACACAAAACCATTTTTCTTCCATTTCTAAAAATACTTCCACCCAAAAGTCATTTTTCACTTTTTTCTTATCATTTGCTTCACTATTCTGTATTGCATGGTCTTCTTCATCAGTTGAAAGAACACGGCGATCAATTTTTTCACTTATTTTAGATTTTTTTTTTGTTACTTTTTTATCATCATTAACAGATTTTAATTTTTTTAAATCAGTTTGAGTTTTGTTTGATGTTTTATTGAAATATTTAGACTTCGAACTTTTTTTGTCTTCTACAAAAATGTTATCATCTGTATCACTTGAAGAAATATTTTCATACACAATTTTACTACCTTTGAGTTTTTTTTTTCTATTATCTGTTTTAGAATTTACTGTTTTAAGTTCTTTTTTACTATTTTCAAGTTTATTTGATTTTTTATCGAAATATTCTGATTTTGAAGAAGTTTTCTTTTTATTATCTACATCAGATTTACTACAAGATGGTTTCATAATATTATGACCATCATCTACTAAAGGACCCAATAATTGTTCAGAACTTGGTTTGATTGAGACAGCATTTAAATTTATCACTAATCGTACATTCAATCCTAATGATCTCAACATAGCAATGAACATTGCAATCAGTTCATATCTAGTTTTAGCTTCACATCTTGAAAATCGGTCTGTCAAAGATAATACATTTATTTCACATAATGGATCGGTTTTTGAAGATAATTTAATTTTTTTTGAAAACCATTTTATATAGTTTTCTAGATAATTCAAATCACATTGCTTTGGTGGATATGCCTTTTTAGAAGGTACTAGAGACAATGCTGATCCCATGACTTCTGGTGAATTAAGAACACTGTTCAACCGATTACCATAAGAGATCCATAAGAGAAGATTTACTTTATGAATTAAAACTTGAGTATCTTTACATATTGCATTCATACGTCTCCTGAGAATATTTTCCATATCTTGACCTTTTTTGCACTTCATATCATTAGGAAGTTTAACATTTATTTCGACCATTTCAGGAATAGTATAGTTATCATCGCGTTTCTTCTCCTCTTCTACAGTATCATCACCATTGTTTAAGACTGTTCCTAAATTAACTCCTTCTCCTACAGATAAGATTTTGGCAACATCCATATTATCATAAAGACCATTTTCCACAGGAGTGTCAACAATCTTAGATTTCACATCACTTTTGGAAAGTTCTGTGGTATCTTGAGGTTTTGAAAGAGTGTTGAAATCAAAATTTGTTTGAAAAACATTGTCATCAACTTCACTTTCAGTATCAGACTGTGTCAATACTTTCCCACTGGTCTTGTTACAGTATTGAACATCATTATCGCTGTCCGATTCTGATAAATTTAAAGTACAAGAACCTTTTAGGGAAGTATTGTCAGTTGGTGCAAATTCATCTCCAGAACTGTCATCTTCAGTTGTTGAATCCTTCACAGAAACTTCTCGTCGATTACCACATTTAGGTTTGATTGGGGGTTTATGGGAATTATTTTCAACAGGAACAGTTATTTTTGACTTGGAGTTACGCTTTATGGAATCATTGGCAGTTGGCACGAATACATCTCCAGAACTATCATCTTCAGTTGTTGAATCTTTAACAGAACCTTCTAGTTGATGACCACGTTTGCGTTTGATTGGGGGTTCATGGACATTACTTTCAACAGGAACAGTTACTTTTGACTTGCAGGTGCGCTTTGATCTGCGCAACATGATTACAGACTGAATCTATAAATAAGAATTAAAAATTAAAATATTTTGGGAGCAGTTTAGGATATAGAGCATTTTTCAAGGAATAAAATATAAGACCATAACTCTTTTCTCATTCATTTTTTACCATTATTTAAATTTTAACTTGTTCTAATTATAGTTTTGCAAAACATTAGGTATATTTAATAAATAAAAATACTATTCAAAACAATTACCTGGGATAAGAAAAACATAAATTGTATGGAAATTCTATAATTATTTCATATGTGAGATGAGAATTTGTAAAATAAATCAACAAATAAACAAAACGTGGACTAAGATAGTAAGATTTTAGTTGTTCTGTGCTAGAATTAGTCATACTAATATAAGTATATAACTACTTACCAAATAGTTAGATCATGTACATAAATACATATTTCAAATTATACACTTAAACTTTAGTTAACATGTGATAGACATTGTAAAGTTAAAGTGAACATACACGAGAAACTCAGAAAACACCGAATACTAGAATAGATTGAATGGAGAAAGAACGCCAAACTGTGCATCGAAATTGATAACGCAATATTACGACACTGATAAGTGATTGTTGATTAATATTATGATAAGGCTGATAACAGAATTCGATCCACGTGCTTACTGCTTATATAGTGCTTACCACTGCTTGTTGTTAGTTCATGCTGCTTAGCTGCTTGTGTACAAGTATAAAAATTGGTGTAATAATATAATTTTATTTTCTAATTATTGTTTAACAGAATATAATTATTATTATATTGGTTATCCTACGGTGTACGATGAGATTTAATTACAAGGTATAACTCGTTAAAGTATTCTACTATTATAATATAATAATCTTTTTACAAGTTATTATGGTTTTTTCTGATTTAGTTTTCCAACGTTCTTGGAACAGTTTATCGTGAAGGAAATTTAATTTTCACACCAGATGGAAATACAGTCATCAGTCCAGTAGGAAATCGGATATCAAAATTTGATCTGAAGAAGTATAATATTATAAGCCTCCATATTTAAATTATTGTGTTGACATGTAATTTGTACCTCATTTTAGTAACACATCGTTTACACTACCAGTGGAAAGCTCACACAATTATGAACAAATAGCTCTATCACCAGACGGCAATCTTTTGTTTGCTGTAAATGAAGGTATTGTAAATATATTTAAAAACCTAAAAAATTATTTTTATTTTAATTTTATTTCCTGTGCCTAGTTGGAGAAGCGGATTTAATCAGCTTAGTAAGCAATAGAGTGATTCACAAGTATCGTTTCAATGAACGAGTGCTTCATCTGAAATTTAGTCCTGATGGAAAACATATAGCTGCTTGTAAACTCAACAAAAGTAAGTTATCTATTTTTTACAAGTGAATGTATTCACTTTAAACATTTACTTGTATGAAGTTTGAAGTGTAACGTTAAATCTGTTTTCAGTTTTTATACTGCAAACACCTGGTCATTTTATTGGACAGTTCAATCAGTTTGCATTGGAACGTGTTTTCAGCGATATTCTTGGTGATACCACATATGTTGCTTGGACTGACGATTCAAGGTATATCATAAAATTTTGACCATCAAAGAATAATTATGACAACACTTAAATAAAAAAATCTTACTAACAAATTTATGGTTATTGGGTATACCACTCATTTTTTATTACACCACTTTATTTTACTAATTGTTTATGATTGCATGGTGCCTAAAACATATGGCAGCTGTCTACTTACCTAATAAAAACTTACCTCAGTGTAATGATAACTTTACCTATAATATAAACCTCGAACACTTACATATTCTTTCAATTTTTCAGTATTTTTGCAGTAGGCAGTAAAGATGCTACTGTGAGGCTGTATACAATTGGAAATTACTCAAATTTTCGACCATATTCATTAACTGGGCATCCTGATACTATTGTGGGAATATTTTTTGAAGAAAATTCATTGGACTTAATGGTTGTTGCTAGGTATGTTATGGACTAGATTTTAAATTATTTTATAAATTAACTAATTCTTTAAATTTAAATTACAGAAATGGTCATTTATCTGTTTGGCAATGTTCACTATCCTTAAATCAAATGGTTTCTATAGAATCAACCAAAAGTAAACGGTTAAAATTAAATGATGATGAAGAAGAAGATGAAATTGATTTATCTAAAGGAGAAGACAGAGAACGTTATGTAATGAATAAAGAAGGTACTTACTAAAAAAAAAATTAATTAGTTTTTTAAAATTATTTTGTGTTTAATTTTAATTCAGAAAAATATAATCAAAAACAAGTCAAGATAGATAGTAAAAATTTATTGAGTTACCGTAAATTGTCAACACATTATCTCAATGACTTTATAAAAGATGAACATAACAATTTGAAAATGACTGCTGCTGATTATCATAAAAAGGTCAAAATCCTTGTAACTGGTTTCTCAAACGGATCATTTTTAATTTTTGAAACTGTTGGGAAATCACTTATTCACTCTCTAAAGTTGGTTAACTTCCATTTTATCTTTAAACATTATTTATTGATTTATTTTGTTAGTATTTCAGAAACCAGTATTAGTACAATAGTATTGAATAATGCTGGTGATTGGATTGCAATTGGCTGTAAAGGACATGGTCAATTATTGGTTTGGGAATGGCAAAGTGAAACATATGTTATGAAACAACAGGCCCATGGTTCTGAAGTATCTTGTTTGACATACTCAGCTGACTCTGTGTATATAGCCACTGGTGGTGAAGATGGAAAAGTAATAGATTAATAAACATTACTATACATTTTATGTCTATGACAGATACAATAGTTATTGGCAATCATATTCTCTTAAAATTCTTATAATACATTTTATTTTTAGGTAAAAATATGGAATAACCAATCAGGATTTTGCTTTGTTACGTTCTCAGAACATACAAGTACTGTTACTGACATAGTATTTGCTCCCAACAAAAAATTTATTGTATCTGCATCTCTGGATGGTACAGTGCGAGCTTTTGATCTCATTAGGTAATAATTTGTTTATCAATAATTGTATACTATTATGTACTATACATTTTTGTCTTAGATACCGAAACTTCAAAACATTTGTGTCTCCTCGGCCAGTGCAATTTAGTTGTGTATCTATTGACTCTACTGGAGAGTTTATAGCTGCAGGTGGACAAGATGTTTTTGAAGCATACCTGTGGTCTATGAAAATCGGCAAACTCTTAGAAGTAATTATATTTAAAATACTGATAACTAAGAACATTACAACAATTTACTAATTAATATTATTTTAGGTTTTGTCAGGACACGAAGGTCCAATAGTAAGCTTAGAATTTAGTCCCATAATTTCTAGTACTACACTGGTGACTGCTAGTTGGGATAAGACTTTGCGTATTTGGAATGCTGTTGAAAATGCATCTGATCATGAAACTATACAACTGTTTGCTGATGGTAACTAATATATTAATTAGGTTGTTATACAAGATAGATATTTATTGACCTGGCATTTATATTACTCAGGTTTATGTGTTGCATTTCGACCTGATGGAAAAGAAGTAGTTGTTGCTACATTGGACGGTCAATTATTATTTTTCGATGTACGTACTTCAACTCAAGTTGCGAGCATTGAGGGTAGAAATGATCTTGGAAGTGGTCGAACAGATACTGATCTCATCACAGCTAAAAAAAATCTTCAAGCAAAGTATAGCTCCTTATATAGTTAAACGTTGATTAATAATCAGCCTTAAGTATGTGCAGAATATGTTTGATAACTACCCAACAATTTACCTGGGATCCTTTATCTACCATTTATGCAACTATCGTCGCGGACGCTAAAAATGACTGCCCACCGTCATGTGCCAAATACCAATTTTCAGTATTAGTTATCAACCATAAAGCCTGAGCTTTTATCTATCAAATTTAACCTAAAAGAATTTTACAATTAGTTACTATTATTAACGTATATTGAAAGCTTGACTAAGTCACCGGTCAGTGTTAATTTGTTGTTCTTTCACTATATACGAGATGTGATTTGTAAAATTTTGAAACCCGATGGTTAAAGCAGTGGTTATGATCAACGAGTCGCTGAGGTCAGCTCTTAATTTCTGTATTTAGAAGAGTATAAGATTGAATTTTGGAGGGGCTAAAACTAAAATAATGTTCACTATCCTCTAGCTATCCCTTAACGGCAAAAACCTAACTCATTTATAATTTTAGGAACACGCTGAACTTTAAGTCTGCACATGCCTATATTTCAAAACACTATATTTTTAATTTTTGTCATATCAAATAAGAGTTTTTTTTTTTCTATAGGGCCTTTAACTCTGTATGTTATTCAGCGGATGGGCAGTTTGTTATTGCTGGGGGCCAGTCCAAAAATGTTTGTATATATAATGTTGCTGAAGGTATTTTATTGAAAAAATTTGAGATTACACAAAATCAATCATTTGATGCTGTACTCGTGAGTAATTTAAGCAGAAAATATACAATTTCATTATATTATATTGATATGCATGTATATTATATTATAATATTATTAGGATGTTGTAAACCGACGTAAAATGACAGAATTTGGAAACATAGATCTAATTGAAGAACGTGAAACAAGAGAAGGGGGAAATGTTAAATTAAAATTACCTGGTGTGCATAAAGGTGATTTGGCAGCAAGAACATTTAAGCCAGAAGTTAATGTTTTCGATGTCAAGTTTTCTCCAACAGGTAATAATGAATGTGGATTTTTTTAGAGATCTTTCTAACATTACTTTTTAATTAGGTTTATCGTGGTCAGCAGCTACCACAGAAGGTGTTTTGGTATATTCACTTAATAATGGGTTCATATTTGACCCCTTCCTTTTGGAACTAGGAATAACTACAAAGACAACAAGAGACACTTTGCACAAAAAAGAGTATTCGTCAGGTGAATTGGATTTATAATTGTGTATATTTTCTACTATTGAGTTTTTAAATATTTATTTTCCAGCATTAATGATGGCATTGCGTCTCAATGAACCAAACCTCATTACTGAAATATTAGAATCCATACCATCCAAAGATAGTAAGTACCTTAGTTAGTTTCTAAGTATTGAAAAACAATATAATAATATGTACTTTATACTCAACAATTTATTATAGTTGAACTGACTGTAGTTTCGTTGCCAAAAGTTTATGCTGAAAAAATTACCAAACACATTTCCATACTCTTGGGATCTACAACACACATAGAATTTTATGTGCAGTGGGTAATGTTCTTGCTAAACTCATATCAACCTCATCAGACCATAATTTTAACCCTCTACAAAAATTTATCAAAAAGATATACGGATTTATCTAAAGTGTAAGTATTTGTTTTGTCAAATAATACAGTAGACTCATGTTAGTTGTTGTTAAAAGAATCAGGCAGAGTTACTGACTATATTATTTGTAATGGCATTATTGCATTAATTCAATGCATTTACTTTGTATTTATAATTATGAATAATTATTTAAAAGAATATCAAAAATTCAATATTTTATCATTTTGCAGTTGCGATTACAACAAATATACTCTAGCGGTTGTAAAGAGGTTGGCTAATTTACAAATAAATGAAGTGAAAGAAGAAGTTAAAGCAGAAAATGAAGAAATGGAAGTTGATGAAAACAAAGTTATTTCTATTTATTAATGATAATATTTAACTATGTTTACTCAAATTAATGTAAATAAATATTAATATTTCCAAGTATTACATTTGTTATTGGTAACTTTACTTTAAAACTATTGATGTATGTTTGTTAGTGGTTACCATTTATTCAAACAAACAAAAATGTATGTATCAACAAACCAGGAAGTAAAAAATGTACACTGGGTTCGTTTGCGATTTCAGAGATTTTTATTTTTTATGAAAGAAAATATTGTACAGTAGAACCTCAACTATCTAAACTAATTAAGAGTTTATCTAGTTTAAATACTGGTCATTTCTTGAATACTACCCATTTAATGTTTTATGTATACTATACAATGTATATGTGTGTTACATATATTGATAGGTGTTCATATTTAATATGTTCGTATGTGTCTCAAAAAACATACAGAATATTATATGATAAATTGATATCATAGACATATAAAACAACTAGATAGACGACTACAGGATATTGAAGTCGGGCAGCCATACGCCAACAGCAAAAATTGCATGGTTAAAAATATACAAATATTCGTATTATATAAATATGTGTAGGTGTATTATCTATTAAGTTATTTTGTTAACATTGCCCTGTTGACCTATAGCCGTACGACTTCAACTTTCCTGTGGGAATGTGTATGCTTTCCACCATGTAGTTGTTTTATATACCTAATGTAGTAATGTCTATGATTGATATTTATAATTTATTATTATTGTTGATATTGAATTATTATATCATACATGATTACGTGTAAAATACAAAAAGCACCCTAAAAGTTAAAGATTTTTACTTCTCATAAAGTATAAACACACATAAACATTTATTGTTCCGCTCAGAATCCAAAATCAACCCTTATGTTATCGACTATTTACCAATAATATAAATTGATTCCTATAACTAAACACATATTTAGAGCTTTAGGGGGGTTTGGAGGTTCACCCCCCCTCCCCCGCAAAAAAAAAGAAAATGTTCACATATTTGTTTTGAAGAGTAATTCATTTAAAAATCTTTTAACTTATGAACCTCCGAAATGACATTTGTTATTTGTATACGTGCCTGCCCATACCTATAACTTAAATTCATAATCTGTTATTTTTTCTAATGCGTGAAATAAGATTATTTCAAAGCGTCTTCAGTTTAATTTAAACACCACGATGTACGTGGTCTTAGACTCTTAGCAGCACACACGTTTTATCCGTTATCGTATTATATCCTGTCGATATTAATATGTTTATCAAACTGTTAATTTTAAATTTCTTTCAAATAGGTACCTAGGGTGGTACCTAGGTATTGCAATCGTTTTTATTACAGGTGTAGTCGTAGGTATAACTTGATAGAGGTACCTAATACCTATCGCTTACGCCGCGGCCGCATAGTCTTGATAATATAACAATGGATCATAATATCATACAATGACATTACAATAGTTTAATCAATGTAATTGCAATGGGTTTTTTTTTCTGTTTCTGTGTCTGCAGAAATGCACAATTTGATAATATGTTCCTATTTTATACTTAAAGTCTGTAACCTTAATTTCTGGTCAGGTGGCACTGCTGGAACTGCATAGGCGCAATTTGGGGGGTGCTGAGCACCCCCAATTTCGAATTTAGCACCCCCAATATTTTTCATATTTATTTTCATTTTAATAGTCATTATGCAGGCATCCACAACCATAAGATAATATGAAAAAAAATAAAGGGGCTTCAGCACCCCCGCCTTTTTTATTGAACTTGCGCCCCTGGCTGGAAGCCTTCCTATTAATGTTATTATGTCAAATTATGTATGTCAACGGCTCCACAACTTTGAAGGCTCGAACCTATCAGTTGACAGTTACCTAATAGCCCACGGGGGGCTAATTTTTTTATCGTAATTTAATTTAAATTATAAATTCAGTTTTTTTGCTACATCGTTTTTTATATTCATTTTTTTTAAGATTATAAATTATTTATACCATAACTCATTATAGTCTATAAGTAGTTATTTAAATTTTGATTGTTATAAATAAATCATAAAAGTCAGTGTTACGGTAATATATGGGGGGGGGGGGCTGCAGCTTGGTTCGAAACTAGAAAAATAATCCCCAAAATTTGCTTTGTTGAGTTAGCAAAGTTTATTTACACGTAGTTGTACATCTTAAACGAAGACGTTTAATGTCGGTGTAATGTCCTCTTAATTAACTGTATTACGATGTAAAACCTACCGACTGACTGATTTGGAAATTATGAAAATACTGACCATACTGTTATAGTGTAACAGAAGTCAGAACCAACAACATTGTTGAAGGATGGGACAAATGACAATAGGTTCTCAAACTCGTTGGTCAAAAACATTCCACAATATGGAAACTGATTTGAAAAATTAAAACGAAATTAACACCGATTGAGCAAGGTTAGCATTCAATATGCTTCAAGTGAAGGTGAATCCGAAAGATTCGCGGAAGAATGCGAAAGCAGTTCCCAGTGTTCCCACGGCTGTTGGTTGAAACATGAAAAAAAAAGTGAGCCCGAAGATAGAAGTACAAAAAGGGGCCTCAATAAAACTGTCAACATCAAAGACAACAAAAAGGTTAATTAAAAGACAAAATGAAAATAACCTAACCATTGGAGATTTTTTAGCAGCTGTGATCTGTGAGTAATAAATCCTCAGGCGAACTGATTAACTAGTAAAATATGTTCTAAGGTCTAATGCTTTTTATTTTATGCAGAACTGAGGTCTGACTTATATAATATTATAATAATTATCATTCCAATTTTATATATTATTATTATTATTTATTATTATTTTTGACAGCTGTATCCAACATCTAAGCCTTGGGGGCTTTTTTCCGATTACCGCTTTGTTCTAAGCGCCCCTTAAGTAAGTTTCTGAATATGTATACAAAGCATATCGTATAGTATATTTAAGTCATGGTCTGAACTACGAACAGCACATAATATAATATAGATCTAGCCATCTAGGTATATCCGTGATGGCAGACGACAGTGTTCAAACGATCAAAAGATATTATCTTAAAAAAGACTGTTTGACTGAACGCTATCAATTTTATCATTTACTAATTATCTCCTTATCGGCTGCCAAGCCGGTCCAAACAATAGTTTATGGCCGTGACAAATTGATGAATATACGAAATTGCTTTATAACTTGATTGGTAGAGGACAACAGAGGCACTCTTGACGAAATAATGTAAATAGAAAAATTGTCAGTTGGCCTTGGCACTTGGTGTTGACAGTTCAGCACTAGTCAGCACTTCAGCAACCACTATTAACTAATAAGCCCATAAGGCACTAAAACTAAACAACGAGCTCGCGTAGTGAGGCAAATTTCAATCGTCATTACGCATTCGTGTCTCTCCCCTTCTGTTCATCGTGTCCCCGACCACGACTCGACTATCGCAAGTCGTCGCCTCGTCGGTACTCACTACTCACACTACTCTGTAGACTGTAGCCGCCAGTCGGTATTGTTCAACTGTTCAGTTACATTGAAATTCTTCGTCGTTGACGTCATCCCCTGACGGGAGGTGCGTAAACAACTTATACTTTATACAGTATCAATACATTTTTTAATAGGTATTTACTATTGCTAACCGTTCGTTCGTTTTTTCTTCCACTCATTATTTCGATAAACTTAATCTACTATGACGATGATTCATTGTTTCGTCACTCAGCTTCCGTTTGCTCCGTGCATGGCTGTTAAGATTCGCACTCTGTTTTTACGCCAATAGTGCATACAATATTTCCAAAGATCGATTCGTTTTTTCCTCGCAGTTCCAACACTATTAAACCTAGTTAAAATCACAAATCGATTCCACAAAATTCACTTTGGACAATGGCTTTGGAACCGGAAGAACACTTTAAGACGCCCGAATGGGTTTCGAGGTTGGAGAATAAACACAAAAAAGTATGTTCATACAAAATTTACGTTATTTATTATAATAAATTCTTTATTCGACTATTTTACAACAAAATAATAAATATACTTGTATTTGAACACTCAATTCACCTAAGTTAAATGTGAATTCCATACTTAGTATGCTAATCTACAGTCACGGTAACCAGAATACTGAACCACCCAACTTAATAATCTTTTTTCAGATAAGATACCTACCTACGTAACATCTGTTTCAAATTTTTTTTATTTTAAGAGGTCTGCACCATTTTTTTTTTAAAATTTTTTTTAGCTACTTAGGGCTTACTCATCTTAATTAATAACTAGATATTAAGCAATATTTATAATACTATTATAATAATTTAAAGATATTCAAATAATTTTTGCCCTGATTATAGCTCATATACAGTGATGGCTCAACAGTTAAATTATTGGATGAAACATTTTTAAAGCTTTTAATTTGTTATTTATGTTAATTATGATTTATAACCTCCCTCCCTTCTATTGTGTTTAAACATTGGTAGTTTGGTATCAGATTTATATACATTGTAAAAAATACTAAAATAAATAGGTATACCTATCAACCTACCCTAATAGATTAGGTTTTTATTAGTGTTTTCTGGGCAATTTTTGATTTTTATATTTCATCAATGGGTAAAAAATAAAATAAAATGCAATTCGTTGAAAGTATATTTTATCAATGGTATTATCTAATTACAATATTTAATTTATGTTTATATTAAACTCTATAGTTAATTACTTAATTTATGTTTATATTAAACTCTATAGTTAATTACTTAATTTTTCAGTTTCATAAATTAGCTCATGAAGTTGGATCTGGTTCAAGTTGTTTAAAATGTGGAGATGCTTGTCCTGGCTTGGATTTACATTTTTGGCGAAAGGTGTGTAGGAATTGTAAATGTAAAAGGGAAGAACATAACATTGTAGATGAAGATCAGTATAAACAGTTAGATATTTTATTTAATGATTCAAAATCAAATTACCAACCAATAAAAGCAGGTATAGTATTGCAAAATAAATAGGTTTATGCGTGTATATTAAGTATTGGCTTACATTTTTATTTCAGTGTTGAATATGATTATTAAACCCGATGATCAATTCGTCAAAAAACTAGAAACTGATCAAAATCAAAATGAATTTAAATTTGATTGGGTCCCACCAAATGTTCATAAAGATCTAGCTTCAGAATACATGCAGTTGTTACCATCTGACAAATTACCTATTAGTGGTAGTGAAGGAGCTTTTTACAGACGCAAACAGCTTGAAAAACAGGTTCCTTTACATGATTTCAATGCAAACGTCTGTCATAATCTTACCATCGAAGAAGCTGATGCTATGGGTTCTTATTTGAAAAATTTAAAAGAGAATGCTGTTGGTCAAGGCTTGGTCAAAAAACTTACCGATAACACTCATAATCCAATTCCAATGTTTAAAAATATGAATTTTACACCCAAACCATTTAAAAAAACTTATAACCAACAATTTGAAGAAGAATTTCCACCTCCTCCTCCGGAAATTTTGTATCCGTTATCCAATTCTGAATTAAAGACACCAAGTACATTTATTGGGATCAAAAGCTATTCTGGAAGTAACAAACCAGAAGTCAATATTTTAGACACTGTAAATAACAATCCAGCTGAATGTGACAGGCAAATTATTACTTCACAATGGCCAACTTCAAACACTGCTGTATCAGAAACTTTACCCCAACAACAGACAAGTTTCTCCTCGAATATTCAGAATGATAATTACTCACCTACGCTGCGTGATAAAGATACTGGAGAATCATTAAAAAATCCACTCCCAGAAGGTCCTAATGCATTCCCAACATCTAATGCTGATATATGTATATTATCAGACGGACAAGAGTTGCGTTGTAAGCAATGTAATAAGAATGTTATGCCAGGTCAAGTTGCTGTTATGGCTGAACGCACTGGTAAAGAAGTATTTTGGCATCCATCATGTTTTGTTTGTGCTACATGCGAGGTAAGTTTTATAAAATACATGGTTAATATTTTACTTTAGTAACAATCATATTTTTTTATAGGAACTGTTAGTTGATCTAGTATACTTTTACTTCAATGGGAATGTTTATTGTGGTAGACATTATGCAGAAATCTTAAATATACCGCGATGTAATGCTTGTGATGAAGTGAGATAGCACTATTATAATTTACATTTCAATAAAATAGTTGTCATTGGACTGTATATTTTTTTTTCTAGTTAATATTTTTGAAAGAGTATACAATTGCCGAGGAACATACCTATCATGTTCGACATTTTTGTTGTTTTGAATGTGACAAACCATTAGCTGGATTAGAATATGTGTCAATTGAAAAACAACCTGTGTGTTTGGATTGCTATCAAACAAAATATGGAAAAGTATGTAAATCAGTCATTACAATACTTTTAAAATGCAGTATATTTTTTATATATGAGTATCTAAAATTTTGTTTAGAAATGCGAAACCTGTCAAAATATTATAATGGCTGGTGATAATAGGATTGGTTGGCAAGATTTGAGCTGGCATGAGTCTCCAGCATGTTTTAAATGTTATCAGTGTTACACATCGCTTTTAGGAAAAAAGTTCACGGTTAAAAAGGAAAAGCGCCCCTTGTGTAGCAAAGAATGTGTTATGGCTTTTAACAACTCTACAGAACTTTAATATTGTGTTATATCACTTTAAGTAAATACAAGGGAATTCATCAAGTATTTCTGATCTTTTGTGGTGGAATAGCTATAACTATATTATCCTACCACTAAATAACCATTATGCTTAGTGAATCATCTTGTATAAACTTAAATATTACTAATTCTAATAACATTTTTCAAATAATTTTATAAAATTAAGAAGACAATACAAATTTAAATCAAACTAATGTCTGTGATACACATATATTTAATGCTTATTATATAATTTTCTTACTGCAAATATACTTTTACTATTTTTATACACAAAAAAAGTATTTTTACAACAAGAAAAGTTTATATAAATGCTTATATATTATATACTTTCATAGTCTTCATTTTTATACAGATAAAGAAGACAATGAATAGTTTAAAATGACACTTCATTATCATTTTTTATTTAAAATTATGTATTGTCTTCTATTTTATTTATGAAAATACTTATTAAATTATTTATCATTGCTTCATCTCAAGTAAAATTATTTTAGCATTCCAAAAATGTTCCTATTGAAATATATTTTTTTTTTGAATTTTATATTATAAATACAATTTTATTATTGCAAATCCTATTGTGGATGATAAATATCACTTTACAGGGTAATTTCTATTAATTTGCCATAATTTCAAAACTACTGTGATAATTATACATCTGCCATTTATTATTGTACTTTTAACAATATTTTTTTATTTTAATGTTTAAAAATATATTTTTTTGTGTTAAATTATTTTATGATTCAAAAGAAAAAAACATTTATTAATAAAGTATAAAAACATTTATGGATAATAAATATATTTTTATTATTTATCTTATAGTATGCATGTTCTTAATGACAAAAAAATTATATGTAAATCCTAAGTTCTAACACCCTGTAGATTAGCCATTTGTCTTTGGAAATATCTTTGACGTGCTTCTTCAAAAATATTACCAACTGTCCTCTTTAACCAAATATTTATTTTAGGTTTAATTTCTTTCGGTTTACTTTCATTTTTCTCCACCTTTTTGTCTTTAGGTATCTCATTAGTTTCTTCTTTTGGTTTTGGTTCTTCATTTGGTTTTGGTTTTAATTCTTCATTTGGTGCTGTATCCATTACCTTAGCTATTTCTGTTGTTGACTCTTTTAATTTTACCACGGGCTTGTCTACATTTTCTTCTAAAGATTTTTTATCGTCACAAATTTCAATTTTTCTACGCTTTGAATCCACTGATGAATCAGATTCAGATAGGTCAGTATCTCTATCATCATTAGCATTATCATCATCTGAAGTGTTTGAAGAAGCACGCTTTCTATATTGGCGGCTTGCATCAGATTTCTTTGTTGACTTTTTCACTTCATCAGTTTTATCATTTTCATTCTTGCACAATTCTTCTTTAAACAAATGTCTGTAAAAACTACCCATGTCTTTTTGTTTTGTTACATCATTAATGTCTTCAATCATGGAAAACTTTAAATCTTCTTCATCCAGTTTTCTTAACTCTTCCAGTTTTGCTTTGTATGAAGCAGTGACAAATGCTTCTTTGTCTTTAAACTGGTCTCCTTCAGCTTCTCTTTCTTTTTGAATTAACCTTTCATTTCTACGTTCATATTCAACCTTACGTTTCTCTGCTTGGACTAATAAATTTTGTATATACCGTGGCTAGAATGTGAAAACAATCAAATTAATAGGTACATGTCTAAAAAATATTAATAAGTTATATATTAGTACATTACACATACCTTAACATCTTTCTTCTTTTCAATGGTATGTTCTTTTTTTTTCTCCATCTCATCATAAACTTCATCATACTGAAAAACTGTTGCATCTTCTTTCAGCGCCTTGTCAATAGACAATTTTGCACTTCTTTGCTGAGCTTTAGTTTGGTTATTAGTCTAAAAATGTATAAATTAAATTAGTTTAGCAAACAAATATATATCAAAATAACATGGTTTTGATTTAAATAAACAAGAAAAATGTATAATATACCTAATATCAGTAAGTAATGTATGTATTACATACATTTCAATACATCTATACACAATAACCAATAAGTTATTGAAATAATATTGAATGAAGGAATTGTTTTTTTGTATAAAATTGTATATAATATATTATATTATACTCAATTTTAGATTATTATCATATTTTGACTAAAGGTGTTTATTATATAATAATCTAATAATTAAAGTTGTAACTGCATATTATATTATGTAGGTTATAGTACGAAGTTACTTCATATGCAAATACTATTTTAAGTCAAAAAAAATTTATAGTTATAAAATCAAAGTTTAATTATATCAATAAATACTTACTTGAATGGGTTTTTTTTTTGATGTTTCATTATCAGAATCACTATCATCGCCAAACACATTAGTAATCTTCTTCGGTAGGTCCGAAAGTTTTTTAGGAACAATTAACCCATATCTAGAAAGAAAAAACGATAAGTTATTTATTCATTCAATACCCAAGAATATTTTCTTCATAATATCCTTGGTATTCCTCAAGAGATAAGGTTAAAGCCGTTGAGATTAAGGATGTGACTTTAGATCATAAGACTCTAGTATATGTCTCTGTATATGATCAAAGGATGTGACAACCGAAAAAAATTTGATAGCCAACATAATCGATGTTATAATTAACTGCAACTTCATTGCATCTCCTTTCATTCTTGTTTAAAATGTTAATTTCTTTATTGCAAGGAACGTTTCTTGTTAGTGAGAACAATCGTTTCTCTCTCCCGTTATGTTTGCAAAAGTGTATGCTGTACAGTGAAGCTCGAAAGCCATGTACATCCCTAAGTTTGATATCACCGTTGAAAGCGCAAAATTGTTATTCGTTTAAAGCATAGCATACTGAAATATTATTTTCAACACCGGATCATTCTGAATTGACAGAGAATAGTATAATTTTATCACTCACTTTTTACTACTGGAGGATTCCATGATGATGATCGTGTACGATTGATATTCCGAATTGTGTTGATAATAAGCAGGTACTTAAGAAATCTGTGTTATTTTTATTTATTTTAATATTTTTTATAAACAATTATTGAAATATATTCGACAACGGATTTTCGTTCTTTAAGATTACATTATTATGATAAATATGATAACAATATTATTATTATTCGGTGATTAAACTGGCTATTATATATATATATATTTAGATATATTTATAAGAGCTATTGTGGTAACCACAATGTTAAAGATAGTAGCGTAATACTGTATATTATGTTGCCTATATAATTATTTAAAAGGTTAACTAATATATGAAGTAATAATATATTATTGTACATTGTTGATATTTTGAATTTTAATAGTACATTAGTATATAGTATCTATATTCTATACTTGTTTATGGTTGAGCCTTGGTTTTAAAACTTTTTAGTCGAGCCATTTTACGATGGCATATGCATGGTCATTGGTTTCATGGAGAATAAAAATAATAAAATATGTCTAACGTGCAAGGATTTTTAACAAAACGCCAATGAAAGTAGAAAATGTCTTTATGAGCTATAAAGTTTATTATATTTTGCATAAAAAAAAATAAATGTACATGATACACTAGACACTTGTTTATATGGACATTTGATAAATTCATTAAGCAATGAATCTATTCAAAATGTTTACTAAGATGTATCACATTATCTACCTGCTCGGAATTGAGTCTCGACAGTATAAATAAGGTTTAGTAAAACTATACATTGAATAAGTATTAAGTACCTATATGATACACGTGAAAGGTTCTAAATTAAACAGTGGTGCTAATGTTGGTGTTTAATATAAATATTTTCTAGCTAAACCTTTCATCTTCCTCCTCATCGTCCACATTACTCGATCATTTAACCCGATTGCTATAAAATTGCAATCCAATATTGATTACATTCAGAAAATATAATACACAAGTTATCACATTACCGAATACTTATAGATTAGTAGGTACTGCCATCGCGTCATCTCCCATCACCTTAGTTTTTTTTTTAATTTATCATATTTAAAACATTAAAATTATTAAATATATCTTATCCAAGGAGTGCTAAAAAAAATACTTGGAGGGCCACGGATTGGACCATCCTGTTTTAACTTCATGTTTTGAACAGATTTATAATTTTTAATAATAAAAAATAATGAAGTTAACAAAACAAATTTTTTTTAGAAATGTTCTTTTGAAATGACATAAAATTATATAAAAATAATTTTTCCAAAAAGTCAAAACTTTCGAAATATTGAGAAAACTCTTTAATGGATCATCTGGTATACATATTTCGTATAAATAATAACTAACTATGTAATAACTAAAAAGTATAAGTGTGAAAAAAAGGTAATCGTGAGAGTCGTAATTTCCTGTTTTAAAATACCAAATATTTAGATTGCATTCAGATGTTTGAATAAAATTAGATGTAGATATTTAATAATCATTTTCGAATGTTGAAATTCTGAGAATGGGTTTTATTTCAACAACAACGGCAAAAATTAAAAATGTACTGTGTGTGTGGTACGATACTACGATGAAACGAAGCATTGCATCCTTTTATATCGAACGTTCCTTAGGCATCTATGAATAGGTATTTTCTTTTTTTCTATTTAGTTGGGTATCGTTTCGTTTTTAAGGGTGACCGCACACTGGTAAAGCAAAACTGCTTCAAAGCGACTAAAGTCGCTTTATTATGGCTAATCAAAAATAAAACCTTTATATTTTATGGAAAACACTCACACTGATAAAGCGTAGTCAAGACAAAACATTTTTGTCTTCAGTCATGACTATTGTTTTATTGAAATAGAACGTGCGCTATTTTCATTAGTCACTGTCAATCAGTCACTGGATAATTATATCAAAATTATGCCAAATATTATTTATTTATGCTAAATTGTCTACAATATAAAGGTAATTATACATTATAATATTATATATTATATATTATACATCATACACAATATCTACAAGTACTGAAATAACTTAATTTTGCATTGAAAACATTTATTTGATTTTTTTGTTTTTATTTTTAAGTAATAATTGTGAAAAAAATATAAATATATCTATAACATTTGTACAAACTAAATATTTTAACTATAATATAATAGTTCAAAATATGTTTATGCAACTTAAAAAACTTAGTTGAAGCATTATTTTACTTATTTTAATCAAGGATTTCCACATAAAGTTTTTCGAGCAGTGGAAATTAAAAAAATGATAAGTGTCACATCGCACTGCAGAATTCTTTAATATATATGATTGCACATTATTATATTCAATAGGATTATAAAATGTCGATTGAGCATGAAATAAACCTCGAAAATTAAATATCATTAGTCCAAGAACATCAGTCTCTTTATGATTACAAAAAGAAAAATTATAGCAACAGAAACATACAGGAACAACCATGGACAGAAATATCGGATATTCTAAAAGTACCCAGTATTTATATTTTTATTATAATATTATATTATTATTTCATTTATTATATTTAATTATTTTCTACTCTATATAAATCACGATAGTAATAATAATATAATAATTAAGTAGGTACTTAAAATAGTTATTAATTGATCAATTCTTTATTATTTATTAATTTTATTATACAGTGTATTTATTTTGCCAGGATACAGAACCATTATTTGAATTAAAATATTCTGTAAATTTATTTGGAAGTGATAATGCTGCTGTGGAAGATCTATTATTAGAAGATCTAATTCTACTGATATCTTGTTCAATTATTTCATTCTGTTCTTGAGAATTTATAAATTCTTGAATATCAATACAATGTTGCTCTCTCATCGTCTCATCATCATAAGTTATGTAATACACAAATAGCTTTTACGATTTGGGTAGCTTTTTCTGGGCCAACCACAATTTGGTTTTCCAACACTTTAAATTTCTTAACCATAATTCCGAATGCGCATTCTACTATTCGTCTTGCCCGCGATTGTCGATAGTTAAAAATACGTTTTTCGTTTGTTAAGTTCCTACGCGGAAAAGGTCTCATCGGGCATAGCCCATTCGGCTCCCAATTTTCCTAAACGGCTCCCGTTTTCAAAAAGGTCAATTCCCAAACGGCTCCTGTCGAAAAAGGTTTTACGAACAGGTCAATACCCAAACGGCTCCCATCGAAAAAAAGTTTTACTAAAATCCTGGTAGTAATCCTGTTTTTTACAACACAAATTCCTTCCCACTTCATACAAACTTAGGACTGTCTCTAAAGGGGTGTGGTTGAAAATGTGTTGTT